GCAATATGTATGGGCCTTGAAGGTATTATGCTCAGTGAAATAAGTCAGACAGAGAAAGACAAATACCATATATTTCACTCATAGGTGGAATGTAAAACAAAGTAAAACAAAAGCAAACTCTTAGATACAGAGAAAACACTAGTGGTCACCAGAAGGGGAAGGCACAGGGTGGGGAGAAATGGGCTCATCTGTAGGGTGACGGAAGGTGACTAAGCTTATGGGTGGTGAGCACTTTGTAGTGTATTCAGATGTTGAATTATAAAGCTACATGCCTGAAACTTGCATAATAATAATAAAAAAAAGAATTCTTTATTGTCCTCTAATATGCATTGTCTTCATGCATCAGAATTCAAGGTATTGTGTAATTTGAAATTTCTAGCAGCTATATTTAAGAGTAATAGAAATAGTTGAAACTAATTTTAATAAATATATTTATTAACCCAGTATATCCAAAATGCTATATATGTCAATATATATATAGACAAAACTGCATATATGTCAATATATGAAAATAATATTTTATTTAGTTTCATTACCTTTTTGTTTTAATCACAACACTCTCAAAAGTGTTTCTACTATTTTTTTTTTACTAGAAACACATACTTATAAAGCTTACGGTTTAAACAGGCGCTGGGGTAGGCTGGCAAAACAACTTGTAATTTATAAAGAAAGTCTCAAATTATAAACAACTGATTTAGAATCAACTTTTGTTGCACAACTTATTTAACTTCCTAAGAATTATAATAAATGTTTGGCAAATGAGTTTTGAATATACAGAATTCAGAAGGTGAATAGGTTACCAAGGAATATAAAGGTCAGAGTAAGATTACTTCTGTGTATATGTCAGATGTTCAGGGTAAGATTTAAAGTAAAAGCATTCCAACTAGAATGTGTCCTTTTAGACTAGTTAACATCTGAAGAAACTCCCAACTCTGTTCTAATAGTTTATTCATCATTTGTTCAATGGCAGTTATCAAGGAAACAGTCTTTTTATAGACTTGTAATTTAGACAAGTGATTTCACTGGTAGTTTGTCTAAAATAATATTTTCGATTTAAAGTAATGAGGTAATGTACTTAATTAGCATTTTATAACAATTATTATCAACTGAAATTCATGACGAGTTTAATGACTTTGGGTCTAAAAGGCTTTAAAGGTAAAGGGCATATATTTACTTAACTTGTATTTTATTTTTATGAAGAAATTCTTAGTGACACGAATTTTAATGCGTTTTCTACTTCATAAACTCCTTGGAATGGGAGTGAGAAAATCACAATTCCCTGTCTTGGGCCATTAGGTTAAACACTTTGTAAGCCATTAGACCAGGATACTATTATTTGTAACAGCATGACACAAGATGTGTAGGATAAATGAATCCCTCCCCATAAAAGCAATCCTGTAGATCTATCCTGTCCAATACAGTAGCTTCCAGCCACACAGGACTACTGGGTACTTGAAATATGACTAGTTCAAACTGAATGTGCTACACATAAAAATTATATTCTATATTTCAAAGACCTCAGGCCAAAAAATAAAATAAAATATCTCATTCATTTTTATATTTTAGCATTTTTATATTAAAGCATTTTGGGTTAACAAACATATTTATTAAAATTAGTTTCAACTACTTCTATTACTCTTAAATATAGCTGCTAGAAAATTTAAATTACACAAGTGGCTTGCATTATATTTCTGTTGTGAAGTGCTGCTACACAAAATATGAAAAGGGGCTGTGTAGGATAAATATGCACAGAATTTCCGCCACACCCTTGCAGAGATCCAACTTTGTATTCCATTTCAGTGGAATAATGAATTAACTTACGGATGGATTATGACTTATGTTTTAAGAAAGTGTTTAGCTTCTCAGGGATAGAAGAGTGTTAACTTAAATCTAGCTGTTGATAACAAGTATTTTTATGGACTCACAAAAAAGTCATTAATCTGACCTCCCACTGATCGATGATACAAAAGACCACTGTATATATTTCAAAATATTAAACATATAAACTCATTTAATTTTCAAAACAACCCAGCTGATACTGTTTTCTTTTGGAAACATTTCCTTGACTTTTCTTTTAATCCCCAAAATACCCGAGAGAAGTGTCTTCTTCCTACAGCAGAGACTGTCCTTGACGGAACCTGAGGCGATATGAAAAGGTCTCCCAGCTGGAATAAGGCTGGTTTAGGTGATTTCTACAAATTCCCTTCCTGGAGAGTTTTGGAAGCCCCTCTGAGAGGTAGATCGGGTCGTCCCAGGTGCATGACCTGATGAAGCCAGAGAGACCGGGCTGCGTAAGAAGGGTGTATCCCGGGCTGCCAGAGCCCAGGCATGCCTCTTCGTGACCTCTAGAGTGAACGCTAAAGCAGCAAACAGAACTTCAGCTTTGCTAACATACTTTTTCTCTAGTTTGTTTTTTTAACCCCCTTTACTAATTTTGTTATAATATTTATAATATGCACAGCTGATCAGTCACGTCCCATCAGTGGCAGCATTGACTGAGGATTCGGTTTTATGGTCTGACCCCTTGGTAGTCAGGGAATCTAATTCATTAGTGTTTTGTTTTCTTGTCTGCCTTTATGTGACCCCAAATCAAATAAGAATATATCATGCACATTGTAAAGGTTGCCAGCTGTTTGAGATCTTGACTGGAAAATGTTTGTGCTTCTGTGTTTAGTTTTGATCTGTGGCTGAAACTGCAGGACAGAAGCCGTACATTCTTTATATGCCTGTGTATCTGTATAATTCAGGAAAGCCTTTATCTCTGGTGTGAGTATGAAATAATTTCCTGCATCTGGAGAGGATTAATAAATTGTTACAACCAATAAAGTAAAGGTCCTCTGTTCTAATTGGTCTACAGTGGTAAATATGTACTTCCATAAATCTGATATGCCCCCCAAATTAAAAGAAAATGAAGAACTAGAACGTTGTATACTTTGAAAGTGCTAGAGTTAAAAAGAAATATTCCTTAAGAAACTGCTAGCTCAGAAACATTTCTAAAAAAGAACTCAAGCTCACATTATTAAGGTGAATCTTTGGACAAATTAGACTAATAACACTGGTCTAAGAAAGTTGTACATCTTTTCCTTTAGTTTGTAATTAAGAGTTGATTTTTAAAAATAAGATTTGGGTTTGTTTTCTCATGGATCAGTTAATCTAAACTTCTGTAACTTCTTATGCTGGTTTAAGATTATGAAAAACAAAATTTGTGTTCAATTAAACTTAACATAATTCTGACAAACTTTTTTTAATAACAGTAATTGTTCATAGTACATCACCTATCAGTGATTTATAAGCTACTTAAAACATACTCATACCACACATATACTGTATTGGTGAGAAATTCAATTTCTCCCCTTGCTTGAGGAAGACCTCCAAACTGAAGCTGCCATTTACGCAGAGGGAGAAAAAGTCTTTGGAACTAGAAGGTGCATTCCCGTGTATGTGCACATCCGGGTAAGCTACTTCCCCGGGAGCTCCTGGCAAATCAGCCTTATGAAACAGAGTGGTCCGAAGTACACTTTGGTAAAGGGAGACGACACTATTGATTGCATTGACTTATAGATTTGGTTTAGCCTTCTATAATACTCCTCAGTGGCCTCTAGTAAAAAAACAACCAAAAAAAATCAGACCATCCGACTCCAGTACCCGCTCTTAACTAGACTAGATTGGAGAAGGCAAGACTAAAGGAAAGAGATTTGTTAAGAGCTTTTGTGATAATCTAGATGAGAAATAATGGGGACCTAAACTAAGGAAATGCCAGAGTTACTAGAGAGAGAGTTCGACTGCAGAGACACTAGGTGGGAGAACTGATCTGATGCGATGTCTGATTGGATGAAGGGGGCTGGTAAAGCCCTGGAAAGGTCTGATCGGGTAATCGGTGAGTGATCCTGCCATTTTTTAAGATAGGAAATACGGGAGGAACCCCAGCAGGTGTGTGAGGCAGAGGAGGAGTTGATTTCTGGAAATGGTGCTTTTGGATGACATCATGAGACAATCAGGTAGAAATATACAGTAGGCACTCGGAAAAATAGGTCAGGAGCCCAAGAGAAATGTCTGCAGTGAAGACAGAAGCCACAAGTCATTAGCTTATAACTGAATGACACAGCCCAGATAATGTGCATAGAAAAAGTCCTGGGGAATAGAAACACAGGGAAAAAATCTGAGCATGAGACTGGGCAGGACAGGTGGGATGATGGGGGAAATGAGGAAACTGTCAGAGGAGCCATTAGAGGCAAGAATTTTGAGAAGAGGAAGTGATCCATGCTGTCAAACGCTTCAGATACACGATGGTAAGAAACGGGCAGCTCCAGCCTCACAACTTGCAACCTCCCCAGAACCATTCAGCCAAGTGGACGATGTGGGAACGAAATCAAGCAGGCTAATGACTGAATGGGAGATGACAAAGCAGAGATGCGCACAGTGCGGTACAGTTTAGCAGAGCGGTGCTTCCATCTGACTATGATGGGAGAGGACTGGGAAGCAGGCAGGGCGGGCGGAGGCTGAAAGGAAGCTTCCATGTGCGCCCGCATGTGCCTACTTATTTATTTTTAAAGAGTGCAGAGACTTGAACATGTCTTAGAAGAAAGAAAAGGTAACAGGAAGAAGTCTTTGAAACACTTAGAAACCGCGATTAAAATACGTGGCCCAAGAAAGCAAGACTGAGAAGGCCCGCAGAGAGTGGCCAGCTTGGGACGGTCAGCAGAAACAGGAAACAGTGGGTATTTATTAAGGATGTCTCCAGGAGTTTCGTTCCTCTTATAACTGTTTTACATTTAAGAAGCTCACAGTAATCTATCTTCCTAACCCCATTTTGCAAGTAAGACAACTCATTAAAGAAAAAGGGATTGAGGTTTTGCTAGAGTTCGGAAACTCTCATTTCTACTTCACTGGTTTCTAATCTTTGTTTAGAACACGCAACTGTAGTTGATTTTCATTTAATTTACTCATGTTGAAATCGCCCAGGTTTTAAAGGCGAAGTGTAACTTAAAGAAGACACTCACAATTCGAACAAGCCAGGACAAGGTAGATGTGGCCGTTGAGTAATGGGTATTATAGTGGTAGGGTGGGCTTTGATCGTCTTCCCACGTCTCATAGCGCTCCGCGTAAAACACAGCTCTCTTTGGGTTCAAAGCACCGATGGGCTATAAAAAGAGAAAAGAAGCATTTTGTTCACTACATCATATTAGACATTCCATATTATAACTCTTGATCCTGAAAGCATTTGCTGTTTATTCATTTTAACCACAGAGCATAAACTATTTTGCATTATGTTTTTACCCTACTTAATTTTGATGTTAATTACAAATCATAACACTTGTTAAAAATCACCCACGAAGATGATCTTTGCATGCAAGGTTTCTAGATTTCCCTAAAAGTTTCAGTGAATGGGATTACCAGTGAAGACCCAGTTTAAATTGTTAAGGCAAAACCAGTATTTTAATGGTATTTTCCTGCCTACTTAACTAACAACCACCATAATGTGCATTTAGCACGATCGCAGGAATCCAGACAGGAGTAAGCGAAGCAGCTACCACGTGAAGCCGCATTATGCACAACCTCCTCTTAATAGCCTGTCACCCTGAGCGAGAGAGACAGCAGTCACCCATACGGAGGCCCTGTTGGGAGGTCGCTCCCCTCCTGTTATCATAGATGGAGCATGCATTCTTTTCATGAAGTTAAGCTGCAAACCCAAGGCTCATGGAAATAATCCAGATTTCCTGGAACACATTTTGCTAAGGTCACTAAGACCGTTTCACCAGTACCACCACACTACTGATGATGGTATCAGTCCCTATAGTGGAGCATACTGTAATATGCTCAGGTTACTATATATATATATTTTCAACAAAGCATGCATTCATTGGATCACTGTCTCACACTTCTTAGCACACCTAATCATTGAGAATTTCTAGCATTTAGTCCTCGTGATTTCAAACAGCAAACTGCTTTAGCTTCAGTTTTTGTCTGATTTTGCTTCAATGGGATATGGAGTCCACACGCACAGTACCTAGGAGCTACGTTATTTTGTTTTCAGTTGCATACTCTAAAAGCAAATGTTTATAGAGAAAATGAAAGAAAACAGTAAGTATAATATGTGCCTTCTTAATTCCAAAATTTAATATTACTGGTTAACCACGAAGCTCCCCCCAAGGCTTAATTTCAACAAGAGAAGTGGTAGAAAATTAGTGTTCCAATGGGACAAATAATGTTACACAAGAGAAAAAGATACATTTATAAACTGCATGTAAGCTTTTTCTTTTGCTCCCAGGGGAGTAATTCAAATACCACAATGATGTCAGCAGTTACGTCTGTTAGAATTTCCATAATAAACTCTTATTTGCAAGGATTGTTATCTTGAACGTAAAATATGTTCTTTATTTAATTCAATCATGACGTAACAAAGGATACATAATTTAATTATTTAAGTTTTTAAAAAACTTTGATTTAACTGTATTTTTAAAAATGTTCTAAGGCTTAAACTTTATTCTGTATTAAATCTCATTGGTTATCTCTCAAATCTTACACAGACGTAAAAAGGCAATGTAATTTCACTAAAAGTCTCATAAAATATTGATAAAATTTAAAACAAAGATATAATTACTTTTTGGGTAAAAGGGTAACTATGGTAGTAGAATGAATGTGAGTTCTGTTACTGAATTGAAAGAGTATGTTTTCATTTAAAATGCCCCACATACTTTATACATTTCTGCATGTGCTGCTGTTTTTCTAACTCAGTATGTTAAGTCTATTTTTTCAAAGACCTAAAATGTTTAATACTTTGCTCTGTCTTGAATATTCTAACAGTGTTTCAGAAGCATAAAATGTGCTCACAATCCTTAAGGATTGACCTTATTGGGTATCATTTGCTCCATAAGAGCTCACAAAACATTTTTGAAAAAGGAACCTGGCCTTTGCTTTGATCTTTTCCCAGGGATAAAATAAATATTCACTCCTATTATTTTACTCAAGTTTTTCTAAGTCATCTTATTGGAGTGCTTTAAAGAATAATACTTTGAAGGAAAATGATTGTACACTATTAAAGTCTGTATATGCCTCTGTTAGCAACTGCTTAAAATACATTTCCAATTTTGAATTTTTATCTGATGAACTTAGAAATTATTTTTTATAACAAAATGTAAATGATTTAGTTTGTATTGATTATTTTTCTATTATTTTGCTTCTCTTATAATCAAGGAGCAATAGATCATCTGAAAGAAAATACTACAAAATTCTTTTTGGGAAATGAGAATTTCATCACAGATGACATATGTTCTTTTTTTTTTTCCTTTTTTTTGTTTTCATTTTGGTACCATTAATCTACAATTATAGGAGGAACATTATGTTTACTAGGCTCCCCCCTTCACCAAGTCCCCCCCACATACCCCTAGATATAATTATCTATATCTATCTATCTATCTATCTATCTATCTATCTATCTATCTATCTATCTATCTATCTATCTATTTATCTATCTATCTATCTACCATCTATATATCATCTATTTCTGTCTGTCCATCCATCCATCCATTTATCTACCTACCTATCTATCATCTATCTATGTCTACCTAAGTATAAATCGATAAGGCTTTAAGTTTGTTAGCCTTTTAAAATTTGAGCAAATAATGCAATGTCAATACCATTTGAATTTAGCAAATGAGTAATGGTGAAAAAGTAACACTACACCTAATGAAATTTATAAATACATCTTTTAAAATTTTTATCATAATTACCATAACAATACTATTTCCTTTTCTTTGCCCAACAGTAGGTATTTAGACCTCTGTGCTTTTCAGGTATTTCCACATGAGAAGGTTTAAACTGAAAGTTTAGAACTTGTTTTATTATTATTTTGTCCTTGTGAGTTTATATACTGTAAATGAACACTGTAACAGAAAAGAGGAAATGTTGCAAATAACAATGAAAAAACTAAAAATAAAATTTCTACTTCTATAGCACTTTGTTATTATCATTAAATTTCTATAACTGCTATAAAGTCTACATAACTTACAAAAGGCACTATTTTCAATACAAAATTGGTGGAAAATTGTATGTTTGACATTCCCATGTCTACATGAAACACTACTGGTTTACTGAAGAAATGATGTTGAAGATTTGCTCCTCTATGACTCAGTTTCCCCTTGTTTAATAGTAAATAGAGAAATTTGTTTCAGCCTTAAGTACCACAAAAAGCTTTGTTTTCCTGAAGAAACTGTGATTTTATTACAGGGTACAAAATCCCTAACAGATGCTCACGGAGATTTACATTATTAAAGGCTTTGAGAGGTAGTATTGTAAATAGAATTGTTTATTTTGGTTCACTCCGGTGTTGCCTATGTTTTTATTTACTAATTAATTAATTTATTTTTACTAGAGCCTCATCCTTTTGTTCTCATAATAACTGTTCACACGTACCAGAAGCAGTGTTCTTTAGAATATGCTCTGAAGAATTCTGGTTAGAATCCTTCTCATATATATTTTGGACAACTATTTTTCTCTTCAGTTTAATTTTCCTATTTTTTCCCCTTCCGCTCTCATAGACTTGATCTATCAGTATCTTTCTATTTTATAAAACCTTACAAGATTTATTATGACCTTTTTAATGGAGTACGTTTATAAATTAAATAAAACAGGTAAAAAAATAGCAACAGGTATTATTTTAAAAATACTTATTGGGCAAATGGTTCTATATGAGACATTTGAAGGACTATAGAGAATATAAAATCTGAGCATAAAGCTGGATCGATTTGAGGCATAGGCAATGCCATTGAAATAGATTAAAATTTTTATGAATGAAGAAGGTTTTCAAGGAGGAATCAGAGGTCCAATGAAAGTAATACTGGTAACAGAGTTCTGGTAAATGAAAACACTTGAGAACGCTCATGATGTTGACAGCATTAGGATTCTACTTGTATGTATACAGAATGTTGGGAGAGTTCATTCACTATTGCTGCTCTAACTGCTAATGATGCTATATATTTGTATAAAAAAACTGTTTCACTTCCATTTTCTAGATTGATTTTCTTAAGCCTCTGAGGTGGGCAAGACATTTATTATGAACCTAATTTCATGAGGATCAAACAGGTACCTGGGTCTCCGCTCTTGACACAACACTACGTTGTCTGTTCATGGCTAAGTATGAAATTCTCATCTTGATGTCACTTCTTTCTTCTACAACTGCCTGCTAAATTCTTATCTGTCACATCCTCAGAACCTTACAGGCTACATTGTAGATGAGGACAATGAAAAAGGAAGAGTCAAATCAGCTCACACTGCTAGTGAGAGGCCCCTGATATCTCTCAGAACCAGCTGAGGCTCTGTGCCCGATGCAGCTAGCCGCTGGGTACAGTGGTTGTCTGCCTGGCATCTGCGTATTGCTTTCTGTTATCTCAACACTCTTAACACATCCAACCAACATATCCAGGTTGCTTTGTTATCTTTTATGATGATAACAAGGGCTTGAGAATCCTTAGAAGAGGCTTTAGGAATTTTTTTTTTTTTTTTGTTTTTTTTCATCATGAGCTACGTATCATCATTCTTAACACTTCACTTTAGACGATATAGAAATCATACCTACAGACACTTCTGTGCTCATATAAATTCCCTGTCTCTCTTCTTGTCTGACCAGGCAATTTCAACTCATTGTGCCGGAAGCAGCTCGAATTTCATCTGTGAAGGCCTACACGACACCATCTGGTAATTATTAGGCAAGTTTATATCTCTTTTTCACCCAGTAGACTATTCAAGAGAATGTCCTATATTTTATTCACCTCTGTATTCTTAGTACCTAATACAGTACCTGGCTCTTCTTAGACATCTAATAAATGATGAATGAAGACTGATTGATCTGATTATATAATATTTAAAATTTCCACATGGAAATTTTAGATAACATTTTAGGCAAAATCAAAAGACAATGAACAAATTGAACGTATTTATAGCAAATGATAAAGGCCTGGTTTCCTTAAAAAATGAGCTCTTACAAATCAATAAGAAACTAACAATCTAATTAAATAAATGAGCAAATGAGATGAGCAGGCAGTTATTCACAGATGCAAATTTCTAATATGTGTAGGAAAACTAGCAGCAAGTCATACAATGTGATGGGGATCTATTCTTTCCTGTTCAGCACCTGTTACTCCGC